CAGGCCAAAGCTATCCGAGGAAAAGATGTAGCCAAAGGAACAAAACTGTCTTTTTAGCTCCAATCCTAGATGTTACACCTCAAGGCCCCACTCCTTTCCAAAGACGTGTGGTCACTGCCCTAGAAAAGGTTTTTTGTTGGCACTTCTCTCCCACAGTCCTCTGCCACTTGCCAGGATTCTCTGGGCTGATAGGAAGCATCTTGCCCCCACCCCCACCACCCTTCTGCTTGCTGTTTTCCAGAACCTGTCGGTACCCACCCCTGCCCAGGGAGGACAAAAGAGGGGCAGTCAGCAGAGTACCCAGCAGTCCCTCACGACCCACCGTGCAGAGTGGGATTATGTATAATATTTGAATGAAGGATTCTACTTCTAAAAGAACCTCAAAAACCACAGGTTGGAAACTGACACCTCTGATGTTTGAGTTTGATTCTATAGTGAGTGTTCTTTCAGAAGAAGGAAAGGGCATGAAAATTTCACCCACAGTCAGTGGCCCACAGCCTTTCACATCCTCTGATGGTTGAAAGGATTTCAGACGATTCTCAAGAAGCAGGGGCAGGAAAGACACAAGTTTTTTAACAGGATGTTGGACAGGGGTCAGCGTGGTTTGGGAAATGAAGCAGAGGATGTGAAGGCCTGAGATCTGAGTTCAGACCCCAGCCTTGCCCAGCAGCAGCCACGCTGGACTGTCCATTATCATTTAGACATCCTGCCACCCTGCCTCACAGTCTCCCCCAGGAATGGGGAGCTCCCAGGTTCCCCTTCTGCACCGGGTCTTGGTGAGATGCTCTGCCAACGATATCCTCATGTGCTTTTTGGGAAGCGAAGGAGGGGAGAGGACTTTCTTCTCTGGAGGCGCTGGAGGCAGACCCACTGGCGATGTGAGCTTTGCAGATGCTTCCCGGCCAGCGCCACCTCCACCTGCTCACAGATGAGGGGTCAGCACGAGCCTCCAGGAGGCTCCACACAGCTTCCAGACCCGCTCTTGAGAACCATCCATTTTGGAACCTGCAGGATGACCTTCAAGGATGGCGTCGCTGCCTCAGCTTCCAATGCCCTGGATGAACACCTTCATACTTGGAACACACAGCATTAGCACAGCAGTTCTTCTCTAGGCTGGCCACCCTCTCCTCCCCTACCAGGCTCCTGTGTCTCTGCCCTTCTACCTGCCCCCCAACCCCACCCCACCAGCAAAGGTAAAGAGCCATTTTATTTACGGCTGGTTCTTTGTAAGGGGTTTCCCTGGTGGCTCAGATGGTAAAGACTATGTCTGCAATGCGGGAGACTGGAGTTCGATCCCTGGGTCAGGAAGATCCCCTGGCGAAGGGAATGGCTACTCACTCCAGTATTCTTGCCTGGAGAATTCCATGGACAGAGGAGCCTAGTGAGCTACAGTCCATGGGGTTGCAAAGAGCTGGACACAAATGAACGACTAAAACTTTCACTTTCGTTTTTTCTTTGTGAGTAATCTTGTCCATGAGACTGACCTGCATGAGGGTCAGCCAACAGTTAATATTATGACCAATAAAAAAATGGAGGAGATGGAGCTGAAAGGGACGAGGTGATGCGAAAGAAGAGGTTGGACTTTTGGGAGAGGACCTGACCCCTGACAGGCCTGGCAGGGGAGGGGGGATCCAGGAGGCAGAGGAGGGAGCGTGTGATGGTGACGCAGGAAGGGCAAGAACACAGGCAAGGAGACCAGGGGCTGTGGGCCCCGCAGGTGTGCAAGCAGAGTGGGGCTGCTTGTTGGAAGCAGGTTCCACCTAACGGCTTCACTTTCCTGCGAGGCAGGCAGCCCAGCGTTACACCTGGCCTTCTTCACAACCAGAGACTGATGAGGATTGCTCGTCTGTCCCTCACTTTAGGCTCCTCTAGGGCAAGGGCCCTGTCTGACTTGCTCAGGACACAGTGGGTGCACCAGGTGCAGGGTGCTGGGATGGGGGGTTGAAGGTAACACTGGAAGCTAGAAATGGCTGTGGACGGGGCTAGGAGATGGGGCTGACAACTCAGGAGAGGATGCCAGGCAGCCCAGAGAACTCAAAGGGATGTGGATTCCTTGATGTTTGTGATGCAGCAATTCCAGGGGATTGTAAGAGTGGAGACGGCTGCCCTTTGGTTCCATCGACAGGGGCAGTGAGAGGCAAGCAGGGATAAAGGACCAGGGTGTGGGTATACAAGTATTGACATGTGGTTCCCACAGTCCAGGCTGATGCAATGGACACTAAGACAGGAGGAAACTGAGGGACGAGAAGGAAAGAGAAGGATCAGAAGCCTGGAAGACTTGATGAGGAGGCCTAGTACGGTGAGGAAGGGACCTGTAGGTGGCCCATGGGGTAGAGAATAGGCTGCTGTCAGGCCGAATTCCAGGAAGCACCACAACAGAGAATGACAAGATCCAGTGGTCCCTAACCTGGCTGATCGTCAGCATGTCAAGTCAAATTCAGTGTCCCATTTCTAGAGTTTCTGGTACCTGGGAATCTATATTTTATAACCTTTAAGTGGTACTGATGGTAGCCAGCTTTGGGAATCCCTAGCATTTAGGGTAGAACTGAAGTTGTGAGTAGTGGCATGAAGTGTGATGATGGCCATCAGCCCTGAAAAGGTTTAGGAGGCCCAGGAGGTGTCGGTGATGTCACACACAAGGATGCTAAAGGCCCCTGGGATGATGGCAGGACTTTGGGAGGAGAAAGACTGTATCAGGTGCCAAAGCCCTAGATGAAGACAGGGGCATATGATCACAGGGATGGTGGAGATGAGAAGTGTCCTTGCCATCTGAGCTTCCGTGAAAGGATGGAGCTGAGAGGAGGCAAAGAGCATCCTGCAGAGCCCATCCCCTCAGAGTTACAGCCAGTCCCACAAGGCCATACAAGGTGTAAACTCTGCGCCAGCCCTTGTGAGATTCCACGGAGCTTCAGGAAAGGAGCATGTGAACACTGCATTGGGAGTGCGGCATCTAGTGGGGAAGGGACAGCGTCTGCATCCTGTCCAGTCCTTGGACAATTTTCAGCTCCAGTAACATAAGGTGCTTGCCAGAGGCCTTGAGGAGCTTTTAGCCTGAGGTGCTCCCTAGCACTTTGTGTAGTTATAGGGCCCAGTGGCAACTGTAAAACCAGGTTGCACAGAGCAGCCGCCCCACATTCTCCCTGGGATCTCACCCCACCTGACACGCCTTAGTGGCAGACATGCCCGGGGGCGATACCCTCATCACAGATGATGGCTGCAGCCTTGGACAGGAGGTGACTGAAGTGTGATGTCACCACAGGGGGAGACCCAGTCATGCCTGGGAAGACTGCCGGCTACTCTGCCTGAGTGCCTAAACGGAAGAGTGGGGTACCATGCGGCGTCCTCATAGGTACCACTTGGTGAGGCCCTGGGATGCTGAGGCCACACACACACTATGTCATTTCTCAGCAGGCTGTCCACATCCCAAGCCCTCACCTGCTTACCTGGAATGCAGATTCTCAGGCTCCACTCAGACCAACGGCTTCAGGAGCTCTGGGCAGAAGGGCCAAGAAAACTGCACCATTATGCCAGCCTCTCTAAAGCTCTGCTTTGCCCTGAGGTCTTGTTACCTCTGTGGAAAGTACCATCGGGCCCACTCTTCAGATGAAGACACAAAAGCTCAGAGAGGTTAAGTCACTGACCTGATGTCTTACAGCTATTAAGTGCCTGAGTTGGAATTCAAAGCCGAGTCTTTTGATCCCATGTTCTTTCTATTAGTCTCCATCTCTCCAAGAAGGAAGGGTTGATTGAGGGCTGGAGAAGTGAAACTCCCTGTAGAGCTGAACATAGGCTGGGCTGTGAAGCTGGGCAGGGTCAGGTGGGTGACGCATGAGGGGCCTGAAGGATGAACATTACTGAGCACCTGTGACATTATGCACAGCACCATTACCAGATACGCAGGCCACCTCATTGCATTCTCATAACAACCTGATGGGCTGAATGTTACTACTCTCACATTGCAGGCAGGACAACTCATGCTCAGAACACTTAGATCACCTTAGGGAATATGGCCAGTAAGTGGAGGGACATGGATTAGAACTCAGTTACCCCTGGCATGAGAGTCAGATCATTTTCCACTACAACTGCAACTGCTCTTTTTAAAACAGTAAAAGCCTCTACTCAGCTGAAATCTGACATGGAATCTCAGGATGCAAGAGAGAGAAGAGCAAGGGTCTCTGGCTGGAACCATCATGCCGAACCCAGAGCCGCCTTTCTCATCCCCCTTGCTACCTGCCCTGAGGCTTTTCCATCCACAAACAGTGCCACCTGCCCTCTCTTTCTTGGCCACTCTGAGTGGCACAAGAGATCTTAGTTCTCTGATCAGTGATCAAACTGGTGCCCCCTGCAGTAGAAGCACAAAATCTTAACCAGTGGACTCCTAAGGAAGTCCCAAAACAGCCCCTCTGCACACAACCTTCCCAAGAGGAAGAGAAACTCATGAGCAGGGAGTCAGAAACAGGCCAAACCATCTCCGGCCAAGTTTCTAAAGAAATCAGGCAGTGGACCTGAGAAATTCTGAAGGACTTCCATGGCCCTATGAGACATCACCCTTTGGGATGTCCATGTATTCAACAAGATTCTCTCACTCCTTCTCCTGTCCCATCTAAGGGACAGAGGTTAAGGAAGGAAGGAAGGGCATGAGAGCCAGGCCCCTTCTCTTGGGGTGCTGCAAGAAGAAGTGTGTGTGTTGACTTTGGAAAAAGAAAAAAACCCAAAACAAAACCTTTCTGCCTTTCTGTAGCTGCTGAAGCACACTGGAACTGCTCAACCCTAACTGCCCATGTCTTCCTTCCTAACTAAAAATATTTCCTTCCTTCGAAATATCTGAGCACATAGGAGCCTTCCCTCCTCCTAAGATGCCACTTCCCTGGAACCAGAGCCAATGAGTACGGTGGGTAGGACCCTCATCATCCTGGCTGCCCAGGGATGGCCTTCTGCCTCCTGCTCCCATCACAATAAAGGGACCAACATGCAAGAAGGGAATGTCCCCCCAGGCTCACTTAATGGCAGGCGTCATCATTGTCATTGCTCACCCACCCCAGCCGTGCCATATTGAGACCCCAGCCTGGAGAAGAAGGCTCCAGGCTGGGCTGCATGGCCAGACGTGGCCAGAGCTGTTCTGCGCGGGCTTTCTGGCCATCTTCCTGCCCTAAGGACCAGCAGCAAGAACGGCGGTTATGACACAGAAAGCCCCCGACACAGTCCAAGTGAGCCCCAGGCTGTAAACACTTCCTCTCTTGACCTCCCAAGGGAGGACCAGAGACGAGCCTGGAGGTGACTCTGCAGAGAAGCCTGTGCCCAGGGAGCCCCTGTAGCCAGCGTGCCCTTCCCGGGGGCCCAGCCTTGGCTTCTTGTAGGGCTCAAAAGCGCACAGGTCAACTCCTGGGTGGCAAAGAGCAGGATGGGGAGCCAGGGATGGAGTGTTATAAATAGGCGGGTGTGACTGAGGTCACCGGCCAGAGGGAAACATGCCAGAAATTCAAGAAGAGAGAGACAGATGTAAAGTATCTGAGTGTCCAACAACCTCTCTCTCAGGGTGGAGCGCTGAGGGTTCCGAGACAGGGCAAGGGTGAGGAGGCGGCCACAGACACCCAGCCAGGGCTGAAAGGCCTCTTGCACTGAAGAGGCACTTGGACGTGGCGTTTATTTCTTAAAGAAGCTGGCTTTTCTGGGCACTCACGAGAGACTGGCCTCCCGAGATGGAGAGGGGGGAGGACCTCACCCCTCACCCCCCCCCGTTTCTCCACTGGGTCTCTGCACAAGGAGATGGCCCCTCGGGAACATTCGGCAACGTCTAGAGACATTTCTGTTTGTCACTCCTGAGGAGGGGGAGCTACCGGCGTCTAGTGAGTGGAGGCCAGGGACGCTGCTCAACGCCCTATAACACACAGGACAGGCAACCCACAACAAAGAAAGACCCAGCCCCAACTGTCAATAGCTCTGGTCTAGCCCTCCCCCCAAGCCCCTCCACCTCCAGACACCACCTCCTTTCTTGTTCATTTCCAAGGGCCCTGTCGAGGCAGCCGGAGCCACAAGTATGCATAGCTACGCAAATAGCAACTCCTTACTCGCCCTGTTTGCTCAGCCAATATTGACTTTGCAGCCTAACACTGGTGCTATTGAGCCGGGGTTATTCTCAATATTGTTTGAGCAGCATTAGAACAGCCTGTGATAACCGGCAGCAGAACAGGAAGCTGCAGGCCCCCCTCCACCCCCCACCTCCCCGCACCCTCCCTTCCCCAGCCGCGCCCCCTCCGGAGGACAGTCCTGTAAAGACAGAGGAACCTGTGTGCTCCTGGAGTCAAGCGGATCTAATGCCTGCTCCTCTGCTGAGCAAACACACAGAGGTTAGAGAGGGAGCACGCTCTCCGCTCTCCACCTAAGTCAACACTCCAGGGAAGCTGGAGCAACTGAAAAGGTTACAGGGGAGGCTAACCTTTGAAGGGGGCATTGAAAAATGATGGCGAGGCAGCCTCAGGCTATATGCCAAACCCTGTGGTTGGAAAAGGGCCACAGGGACTAGGTTTTTTCAGTTCTGGTGACGAAGCAGTATGATGGTGAATCCATCCATCAGCGAAGCTCCCATGCGGTGAAGGCCTACTAGGTGTCAGACGTTTTGCAGACTAGGACCAGAAGCTTAGAATGAGAGGGCCCTTGTGAACAATCTAATGCAGCCGCCATGTTGGGATGATGAAGGTCTAGGAAAGCAGCCTCGACCTTGGGGCTGGTCTTTGTTGTAGGGGAGTAACCAGCCCCTGGGCATGAGTTCAGAACTGAGAACAACCTGGTCCTCAGAAAACAGTCTCCTTACCAGCTGGATTCAAGTCCCCTTAACAGGAGCCAACAGTGAATATATTGGACTTTCCAGGTGGCGCTGGTAGTAAAGAACCTGCCTGCTGATGCAGGAGATAGAAGAGATGCAGGTTCGATTCCTGAGATGGGAAGATCCCCTGGGGAATGGCAACCCACTCCAGTATTGCCTGGAGAATTCCATGGACTGAGGAGTCGGACATGACTGAAGTGACTCAGCAATATCACTAGCACTAATGGTGAAAACGCCATAGTGAGGGGCTTAAACTAAGTCCAGAAGAGGAGCTACAGTCATCTCTGTTTGAAAGTATCTGGGTGTAAGGAGATGGCTGTTAGGTTCTTCCTGAGAGCTGTCTCGGAGGGGTAGAGGGAACACGGGAGAGAAACCAGTAGCCAGGTCTGCACAAATCACGTGGATGATAGAAGAGGAAGGCACATCTCCAGCATTCCAGAGGGCAATGAAACAAAACTATAAAAGTGATGTGGATCAGGACTCCTGAGGGCGTTGAATGAGAATCATGACCACGGCCACCTCATATGGTTATGTACCACCTGCCCAACCGCAACCAACAGCTCCACGTAAGAACAGACAAGCCAGAGAATGTTCACAGATGAGAAATCCACATGGAGAAAATGGGGCAGCTTTTCCTGGTCCACAGTAAAGCAGATCTAGGCTTAGCCGTACGTCTGGATCTGGGCCCATGGCATGTCTCTAGGTCAATATTAAACAAGTTGCCAGAATCATCAAGGGGGCATTCTGAAAATTAGCTCTGGCTGGCCCTAGTGGCCTGGGAGCACCAAAATGGTCATTTGCTAAAATTAGTCGTTAACATTTTCTACTAACTGCTCTCTCCAAAGACTTGGAAAATGAAGAGGGAAACTCCTCAAAAAATCAGTTATCATGTAGGCCCTTAAGATGACCCAAACTCTAAGCTTCAGAAACTATTCATTTTTTTTAAAGTGCATGCTGGGCCTATCCTGCACATGGTGGAATATTTTATTCAACAGCCAAGTCATTCCACTCTTCCCCTGAAGCAGGCGTGTTAGCCAATGTGCCTGCCAGGTCTGTGCCCCCTTCTGTGAGGAACACCTTCCCACCCACGGGAGCCTGAACGCACCTTGTTGGAACAGAGGCAGAGACCTGACTAAACAGAGTCACCTCATTGGCTGGCCACTGACCAATCAGATTCCTTCCTCTGGGACTTAGGATTTAGACTCTTGATATCAGGTCCGTGAGCTGAGAGATCACGTCCCAACTGAAGTGAACATTTTTGGACCTAGAGAAGGCCAGTCTGCAGAGAAAAAAAAATAAAACAGACCAAATGAGGGAGACTGAGGTAAAAGACCATGAGGTGCCAGAGAACGAGGGACACGGAGTACAGGCAAGCAGCTGTCTGGGACTCGGGTAACTTTCCAGTAGTTCCACCTTGAGCTTCTCACGGGGACTGGTGTCATCCCTACCCTCGGGTTCACTGAGATTCCTCATAGCCTTCCAAAAAAATTATTTTTATCATTACTATTATTGAGAGCTAATCCTATAATAACTCTGTTTCTTGCAGCAAACAGTTATTGCCCAAGACACCTATTAAGAAATGGCCTGTTTTCTGGACTAAACTACTTCATCACTGAGCATTTCACCCCATCTTCTTCCCCACCCTTGTTCTAATTTGATTCTTTCCTCTCCTAGGATTTCCATGGAGATTTCTCATGCTTCCTTTGAGTGTCTTGGGTAATAATAACCCGCAGTGTGCCCCGGTGATCAGGAGATGAATAAGCTGTGTAACCTAGACACCACGTTCCACTCAGTGGTGTGTTTGCTCAGCCTACTTCAATAGAGGCTGTTAGACTACCAGTCAATAATTAGTCACTCAACAAATATCCATCAAGCTATATCCCAACCCCACCAAAGACACGCTGAAAACACAAACAAACTTTTAAAGACCACAGAGCAAATGTAAGCACATTTTTCCATTTTCCTGTGACAGAAGAGGAAAATTCTGATGTGCTATCAGCCCTAATGCAGCTAAAATTTATGTTACACCAACCATCCAATCAGAATAAGAAGTGACAACACAGGCACAGCTTTTTCTTTGCTAACTCTGGAAGGGTATCGGCTGTTGTTGCCCACAAAGAGAAACAAATCATGGCCAGTTAATCCTCAAGATCAGTGGGAATATAGCTGGACCACCTGAAGTATCAGAGCTTCCCTCAGAGGCTGCCCACTGCCTTGACCCCTGCCAACAGGAGAAGACCTACAGGGCATTCATCCATCCTGTTTTTATTGCGTACCCTTTTATTACATGATAAGGAATCTCAAGGAAACATCTCCCTTCTCTACAAGTTTTATTATTGTTCTACGTCTCAATTTTATTATTATTAGGATAAGATTATAACCATTAACATAGTAAGATAAAACCACCTAACAAATCATCAGTCTTGCCCTTAATGCAATAAAATCTTTTTTTTTTTTGCATATTACCTTCTACAGGTAGTATTTTTACATAGACATGACCCTAGCAAACATATCAGGTTGTGATTTGCTGTTTGGTCTTACCTGCCACTTTTCTATGTGTAAGCGATGTCTCCCAGGCTTGTGTTTCCCCTACGTGACCTCCCAACCCACTAAAAGCTCCACCCAGTCATGCCTACGTGGGGTGCCTGTCTTCTCCTCTTCTGCTTCCCCAGCTCCTGTTTGGGGCCTCTGCTCTTCCAGAACTGCAGGATGGCACTGCATGGCTTCTCCCAGGGCCTTCTCCCAGGGCCCAGTGACCAGCCGAGAAGACTCCTTCCGGCAGGGAGGGCTTCTCTCTGCTGCCTGCTGCCCACCATCCCTCCTGCCTGCATGTTCTACCCATGCCCATCAGCTACCACTGCCTTCCTAGGTCCCAGCATTTCCCCGGAGTGCTTTAGCCTTTGCAGGGGCCATCTCTCTCTTTTCTGTATTTGAACACCCAGGACCTGACACAGAACGTAACGCAGAGCAGATTTCAAAAACATTGGGTGAAAAAAATGAGTGAATAAATGAACGAATGGTTTGTGATGAACAAATGAGCAACTGGGGCCCCCAGCTTCCTCCTTCTGCCCCTCCTTCCCCTCTACCTATCGCTCTCTGCCACTCTGGCCAAAGTGTGTACTCTGAGAGCTCATTCCTCAGACACCCATGCCCAGACTCTGTAACTTGCACACACAAGAAAGGTCAGCCTGGAATTGGGGCTGGTTCAGTTCACAAGGCCTTGACAGAGAAAGGAGCAGCCCTGGACTCTTCCCACAGTCATTTGCTCCCTCTCACTCCTTCCAGTCCCAGTTCTAGCTTCCTTTCCCATCTTGCTAAGAACTCCTCCTATCACATCTGGACATTTCCCTTCCCTCATCTTCATTGCAGGCAGATTCTTTACCATCTGAGCCACCAGGAAAGTCTGCTTTCAAAGGTGAATCCTCACCAGCATAGGAGACCCCACACAGGTCCTCAAACCCAATGAGGATTGGAAACTCTCCTCCCTCCCAGGAAGGGTCAAGGTTGCAGTAAAGTACATGCTTGCTGGGAGTTCGGGGAAAGTGTAAAGGTAAGGAAGACACAGAAAGGGGACCTGAAAGTTCCAGGGACACACTTTCACAGGCAGGATCAGCTCCAGGTGGGATGAGCAGCAGGTGCTGGCTGATAGATCCAGGTCTCTGCCTCCCACCCCATCTCATGACCTTGTGCCCTGAACGATGTCAGAGGCCTCATCCCCGACCATCAGCAGAACTCTCGTCCTGTAAGAGGATCTGGAGCCCTGTACTCTGACCTGCTCAGTTTACAGCTGGAGGAACTGAGCCTAAAGAAAAGCCAAAGGACTGAGTCTCTCTTTCTCTTTAATTTTACACCAACTCCTGTTTTGCAAAATGCCATTGGGACATATTTATCCCCCCCAATCAAATAATTTCATTTCTGAGACTCTCCTTTGAGGAAATAGTCATCCTAAGCAGAGGAAAGGTTTGGGCTCAAAGATGGTCATCATAGCATCATTCCACCTAAAAGTGCCAGACAAGGGGGCAGGCCAAGCAATTCCCCTAGATGGAAAACAGTTTGTGGATGATCCACTAAAAATGATAGTTCAGTCCAGCTTTTAATAAATGGGAAGATTCTGTTATGATATTGGAGGGGAGGAAAAGACAAATTTTTATATGAGCCAAACTGTGTGAGAAAAGCAGCTTCAGAGGAGCAAGATCAAGAAGGGGGAAAAATGGCTTTCTTGTGTATTTTGTACCTGGTGTATTTTTAAGTAGCTATCTAGTATAGGTAGTGAGTTATAGGAGAGTCCCCTCAAAGAGACAGAGTGGAAAAAAATGTAAATTATATTTTTAAATGGTGATATTGGACAGTCAGTTTACTAGGAAAAGAAAAGTGGTCCCTGGCAACCTGAGCAGTTAAAGTTGCTTCTCATAATTATTGCAAAGGCCACTGTCAGAGCAACTCTTTCCTCTAACCGCCCTGTAGGACCCTCGCTAGACACCACATACTCATTGGAATGTATTCATTCAAGAAAACTGTTAAGTCCCTACTGGCACAAATAGTGTCATGCACTGTGCTGCTTGCTGGGAATACAGGCGTAAACAAAGCAGATGGAGTCTCTGCCCTCATCAAGCATACTGTCTAACGATCGAGATAGTGAAAAGATCTGCACATAACTAGCATTAACTATGATAAGCACTACAAAGAATGTTCTCTCAATCGGGATTGCATCTGGCTGCCGGGAATAGAAATTCAACAATAGTGATGAAAGCAAAGGAAGGTTTTACCTCTTACACAAAACAAGTCCAGAAGTAGGCAGCCCAGGGCTGGAGTGATGGCTTCCATAAAGCCCTCAGGGACCCAAACTCTTGCTCTATTTCTGATCTAACATATGAGCATCCTTAATATCCTTGACCTGAAGGTCCAAGATAGCTGCTAGAGCTCTAATCATTACATCTCTGTTCCAGAAATAATAAAGGAAAGACACAAATGGCAAAATGCAAAGGAAAAAATAGTCAGCTGTTTCTCAATTTCTTAGAAGCCCTACGCAGCAATTTCCTAACTGTCAGGAAGGCTATGAGAAGTAGTCTTTTAACTGTACATGTTGCTTCCCTGTTAAATTGGGATTTGATAAAACAAGAAGGTAATCATGTACATCAGGAAAAGACCAGCAATCTCTGCCCCAGATGATGTTGTGAGAGCAAAACGCAGAGAGATTCCACCTGGTCAAGGAGGGAACTCAAAGCCATAATGTTTAAGCTGAGGCCCAAAGAATACAGGGGAGCAAAATAAGCAAAGGGTAGGAGAAGAATTCCAAGCAGAGGGCCAGAAGCTCAACCTAATGAACAGCTCTGCTGTAAATTCAGCAAGGCCGCAGGGAGAGCCTGAAGTGAGGTCAGAAGACACGGCTTTACGTCCTGACTCTGGGGAACAGCACATCCCCCTCTGAGCCTCTCCAGCTGTAAAGTGAGCTCTCTGCACTCGGATCCTATGAAATATTGATCAGGCCTCTGCTGGGTTATACTAGGGCAGGAAGAGGACACACCACTTTATGCCGCAGCCCCATTCTCTCGAGGCCTTCGGACAAGACGGACAGAGGAAACTCATACAATCTGAAAGCTGTCAGGGAGGAATTGGATCAGGCAAAGAAACCCAGCCTCACTTGAGGGTTCAGAGGAGTTCACGTCTGAGCAACATCAGCCTCGCATCAACTCTGGGACCTCCCACTGCAGAGACCACAGTTCTGTCTGCAGGGGGTCCGGGAATGCTGCAGGCCTCACCGAGGGCCTCCACTTGACTGAATTCTAGATGATGCCACACACTGGGGTGGACAGTGGTGGCGGCGTGGGGAGGACCACCACTTCCTAAGCATGTTCTGCAGGCTGGGCGCTGGGCAGCTTTGCATTTATCATCCCATGTCATCCTTCCAGTCAAGCCACTGGATACGTATGAGTTATTTCCATTTCACAAATGAGAAAGCCGAGGCTCGGAGAAGTCATTTGTTCACATGATGATTCAGAGTGATGGGAAACACTGGTGAAGTCACAGTGGGGAGAGTCCTTTGAAAACCCAGCTCTCTTCCCGTGACCATGTGACTTCAGTTAAGCTTCCCCTTGGGGCTCAGTTTCCTCATCTGTATAATGGGGTCAGTTAGTTTCCTTTCCTACTTACTGCTGTTGCAGCGCTGTTGCCTCCGGTGTCTGCCACGTACAACCACCCTCCCCTTGGCATTTCGTTGCAGGCCCATGACAGCCCTTCCAGGTATGTGCTGTTCACCCCGGGTCACGGACGAGGAACTGACTGGGCTCCTCCCGGCTCTCTCCACCATGACGGGCTGCCCCGTGGCAATCCAGAAAAGACAGTTCCCTGTGCTAGGTGGATGCTGCCCCCTGCCTGACCTTTGTCCTCACGAACATCTGGAGCAGGGTGGGGATGCACAGACAGACCCGTGGCTCCTGGGCCAGCCGTGGGAAGACACTAAAGGAGGCCCGTCACTGTTGCTATTCAGGTCAAAACACCTCCCTGTGTTTAAACAATTACAATCCATAATTAGTTGCCATCACAGTGGAACAAGCCCACTGTGGTTTCAAAATCACAGTGACTGCTTTATTTAGCTAAAGCAACCGCAGCTGGGGACCACTGGTTTCTTTGTTAAAGAAAATGTCTCGGCTTTGGCTTACCAACCTTCTCTTAGCCTGTCTCTCCTGGTCGCGCAGGCACACACCCAGCCCTCCCACTCCCCCCGGTACACCACTGTCTCAAACTGGGCTCCTCGCACCCATCCTTGAGCTCTTCTATAGCTTATCCCTCTTCCTCAGTGTTTCTTCATTCCCTGTCCATCCTTTCAAGCCCAACCTGGGGCCTCCTCCTCCAGGAAGGCTGCTTTGACTACCGGAGCCCCATGGGCCTCTCCCCCCAATCCACTCCCACTGTTCCCTCACACATTAGTTGGCTCACTGATCTCCTGGGGGTTGGGGAGGGGGTGCTGGGAGGAGAGAAGGAAGGGGGAGTAGACTGTGGAGCAGGCAGGAGAAAGATGTGCCACAACGCAGGCCCTAGTACCACATTCCTGTGTCCTGTGCTACGGGGAACAGGGAGCCAGGCTGGGTGGGAGGGAGAGGTTGACGGGGCCAGGCCAATGGGTCCTTCCTGCTGAGAGGTCTAGGGGTGTCAGCAGGACTCAAGCTATTTCTGAAGGAAGAGATGATCAAGCAGATATCTAATCGCGGAGGAGAGGCTGGAGATGTGCCCTGGGGCACAGCTAGTCTTGCTCTTAGTGATCCTGAGTGAAGGCGGCGTTTTTTGTCCCCAGGGGTGAGGACAAAAGATTCCCATGGCGCTGAGAAACACAGTCGCACCCTCACTCCCTCACCAGACGTTAGAGGAAACGTGGAATTCTTCTTGAGAGAGAACAGTTCAGTGTGTTTCCTCCCAATAGGATTTTCTAACAGGAATCTAGTGATGGAGCTGGACATCGGGGCTTGGAATCCTTGTTACTCTGAGTAAGGTGGGTCCACAAACAGTCAGCCTGGCCCAGGGAGGCTGGGATAGGCGGCCAGTCAGAGAGGGGCCCAAGAGAAGCTGACTTCTCTCCCCTTTGCCCCGGGGGAGACCCCTCCCACACTGCTCACTTTTGGATGCCTTTAAGAGCCTCCCATGACTTCCCTCCCAGGCTCCAAAGCAGGCACGCCTAAAATTACAGGGTGACTTCAGAAATCAGGCAGCTCAAGCTTTATCTCATCATGAAACCCTTCACAGCCTCCCTGATGAGTAGTGGTCCAGGGACAAGACTATTATCCCATTCAACAGATGAGAAAAATGGGGCTCTGAAAGGGAGAACAACTCTTAGAAGGCTGTGAGGAGCCCCATGCTGTTTCGATTTTTGACTGTGCCCCGCTTCCCATTCCTGTGGGGTCTGACTCTCAGCTGCTTGCCCATTGACCATACCTGCCCCCCAAAACATGACACATAACAATGGCTTAAGGCATCAGGTCCAATATATCTGAACCAAAGGCATGCACTGCTAATGTATGATGTGTGGGTCAGGGGTCTCAGTTTACCACCTGGGGTCTGAGCCTCCTTGTCTTATAAATATCAGGTTGAACTAGTCTCATTTCGGCTCCAGCCTTTTCTGGTTCTATAAAATATTTTTTAAAGGGGTGAGGGAGGGGAGCGTAACCAGTTCTATATGCTATCTGCTTACTTTTTATATGTTTTATGTTCTTTTAAATTTTTATATCCAGGGATACAAGGGTGGGGAAGGAGCTGATATGGAGTCTGCTCACTGCCCTCTGAAGCAGCTGAAGGCCAGGAATTGGATTAAAGAGGTGAGGGACCTGTAAAAAACCAGAGGATGAGGTCTTCCTCCTTCCCAGTCCACACGTGTCCCCCTGGGCTGCCCGCTGTTCCACCTCATGGAATGTTTGCTGATAGACACACTTCAGCCCCCAGAGTAGAGGCCAAGACCTGAACTGGGGACAGACCGAAGGGGGAAAGTAAACCAAGTTCTACTGGGGAGTGCCAGGGTGAGTTAAAAAGAGAAGCATCCAGCAGACATTCATCCTCCCCTGCCCTGCTGTCCCAATTTCATTCATTCATTCATTCATTCAAAAGTGCTTACCTAACACCCTCTATGTACCAAGCTCAATGCTAAATGCTGGGCCACCACAGAGAACAAGACACAACCTCTGACTTCATAGTGTTTATAGATCAGTCAAAAGGGCAGATGTTAAACAAATAATTACACAATGAATTAATTAAGTGCTGTTGTAACTGATTCTCTGAAGAATAAGTAAGGGCAGGTGCTAAGAAAGAACAGTTGCCAGGAGGAGTTTACCTGTGGGAGGGTCACAGAAAGTTCACAGAAGAAGAGATATCTTAGCAAAGACCTAAAGATGATCTTTAGAGGGGAGATGGCAAAATAGAAACAAACTGTGCAAAGGCCCTGGGGCAGGAAGGAGGAGGGGACAGTCTAGAAATCTGTGGAGAGTCAGCGTGGCTGGAGCTCAGAGCCATGTGGGAAAGAGAGGGGCTGTGATGAGGTTGGAATAGCAACAAAGGATCTTGTCTGTGTGGGGGAGGAGCCCATGAAGAATCTTAGCAAAGAAAGAGCTCTCTGCTTTTGAACTTGGCCATGGCAAATTTTTCCTCCTGGCCTAAACCGTCTCTCTTCTAAAAGGCAACAGACATTGGGACTTGCTCTTCCCAACTTGAAATCAAACCATATTAACAGCCAACATCTGCACAACTCCATCAATGATTACAGCACTTTGCCACCCATTATTTCTTTCCATACTCACAGAAACCTCATCAAGGAGGCATTTTTAGCCCCACTCTGCAGATGAAGACGTTAAGACTTGGTGAAATTCATGAACATGCCCAGAGGTCACCTGCACAGTGTTCTGCTTAAGATAACTACCAAATGTTACCAAGCAATAGAAAGTATCAGGCATTCCAAAACAAATGAAAATATTCAGGATTAATCTGCTTTTCTGAATTGCCTACTAATAAACGTAGATACAGGGACAGGTACAGATATCGATACAGATGTAGAAATAGAAAATAGCTGTAGAATATCAAGAGTTGAAATAACTAATTTTTTTTCCATAACTCTAGATCTTGTTGCTGTTTAGTCGCTAAGTCATGTCTGACTCTTTTGTGATGTCAAAGGTGTAGACCAACAAGGTCCTCTGTCGATGGGATTTTCCTTGAAAGGGTTGCCATTTCCTTCTCCAGGGGATCTTCCTGACTCAAGGATCAAACCCAAGTCTCCTGCATTGGCAGGTTGATTCTTTTTTTTTTTAATTTATTTATTTTAATTGGAGGCTTTACAATATTGTAGTGGTTTTTGCCATACATTGACATGAATCAGACATGGGTGCACATGTATTCTTTACCACTGAGTCACCTGGGAAACCAAACTCTAGATCTTAAGCTGCTCATTTTGGGTGAGGAGCAGATTTTATGACCCTATGTGCTAGCAATGAGCAGGTTCTAAACTAAATTTCAATTCTTAGATTTAACAAATAAATAGGGTAGGGACTTCCCTGGTAGCCCAGTGGTTAAGATCCACCTTCCAATGCAAGGACACGAATTTGATCCCTGTTTGGGGACCTAATGTCCCACATGCCAAGGGGCAACTCAGCCTACATACCACAACTACCAAGCCTGAGCACCACAGCTAAGACCCAATGCAGCCAAAAATAAGTAAATAATATATACATACAAACAAGGTTAAAGCTCTTCACTTAGAAATACTACTTCAATATCTGTTGCAATATGAATTAAAATGACAATAAATAATAACAAGGGCATGAATCCTAAATCAGAAACCCAAGTGTGCAAGAAGTACCACTTTGTTCCATTCCTCTGATGACCCCAGTCCAGGGTCCTGAGCCTCCTCCGAAGAAGGGTTTGAGCCTCCACTCCATCATGGATCCACTCTTATTGCCCGTGTTCAAGGGCAGACATGGAGGAGGCTTGCAAAAAGAGAGAAACAGACACTGTGTTGGAAAAGAAACCCCCTCCCCCCAGAAAGCAAAGCAGACAGAAGCAGATTTGGAGGCAGGGGTAGGGGCTGGGCAAGCCTATCCTTTCCACATAAAGCCCTGAGTGCTGGAGTCAGGCTCAGCACTAATAATCTTACACTCATGCAAAATTCTGCTGCCAAAACTGCTGTGCAAAGGCATAGGGAAACTGAAATTTAAAAACTGAATCCTCAGTCCTGTGGCAAATGAGTCATTCAGCCAATTGGAGTCATTTGGCAAACTGGCTTTTAGCAAATTGATTTTGGAAGGCTGTCCACTGGCCAGTAGAGTGTGCAGAGTCTGGTGGAGGAGAACACAGCTCCCAGGGAACAGACCTCTTCCCTCTACCCTCCACAAGAGAGACCTCCAGGTGCCACAGAGGCCCCCAAGGAGACGTGATGTCAGGGGATGTGGGCAAGCCTGGCTGCCTTTTAGAGCAGCCTTAGGTCTGAGAAGCACCTCTCCCACCCACAGAACGGACCTTGAAGTCATTTATGGATAGTTAAGCCTCAGAGCTTAATCTGTAAAACCCACTGATCCTCTGCACCTCTTAAACTTCTGGTGGTCCACCCAAATCTGAACATCTGCTTGGCTGCCAGCTGACGGATGGGATGCACCTCTGCAGGGTAATGCACTTGGACCACACCCACCTTGGTTCTCCAGAGGCATTCAGTGAAGAAGGCTGGCAGAATCACCGACAAAGCTGCTCACACTCAAGGGGAATCATCCAAGCAATCGTTTATGCACCTGTTCTTTACACCCAGAGTGCATGCTCTTCAAGGCTTTCTCCTGCTCTGATGTT